AATCGAAACTATCTCAAAGTACTATCCAGAGAAATTATGAAAGATAGAAACAAGTCGGTTTTGCTTATGATGCAAACGAGATTTTTGATTTTTGCAGATATTTTCTTACAGCTAGCCAACCGTAACTCAGAGTAAAATTTTAAACATACATCTAGAAAGAGCGTTAGATTTTTTATCTAGTAGTCTACTTCTGAGCCCCTTCAATAACATCTAAGTGTCTGAAAAATGATCAATCATAACTGCCACGATCTTATAAATTAGTGTTTTGTCCAAACGTTGTTTTTGATCCTCAACAAAGATTTTATTTTAATAAAGTAACTTTAAGTTTGGAAAAAATTCTGAATATATATTTAGAAAGAGCGTAAAATTCTCATACTAACTGGATACTTTTGATTTCCTCCAGCAACTTATAAGTGGACAAAAACTGAACAACCATGTTATGCAAAGACTTTTTACATACAGGTTACTTTGTGACAGAGTGCACTGTGTTGACTCTGATAGCAGTATTGGCTTAGCGTCATAGAGCAAAGGTGTAGTATAGAACTTTTCTTCACAAGGAACTAATCTAGATAATTTATTTACTGTAATAGATCAAAACCAAACGAGAAACACTTCTTTTTCATACCATATTGATTTTGTATATAATTGTTATGTCGCTCTTTGTCTTTAGCCAAATCATCTTCATGATCGGTACAAAGTTCTGTTGATGACGATGCCATTTAATTTAAATCGACAGATTATTTAAATCTAAAAAAAAAGACATTTGCTTTCCCGCTTCTAAATGTAAAATAAATATAAACAATCGTAATGAAATTATGCTTAAGAACAGATGAACAATAAATTTCTTAAGAAATTTTGGACAAGATCATTTTTGGTATTTCTCACGTTTATTGATCGTGATTGTGGAATAAACAGGGTGTCCCAAAAGTCATGTTCACTTAAGAAAATTGAATATCTCCATTACGATTCGAGCAAACGTGCTGATTTTTTATCAGTGATAGAAGCATGCGCCAAGTTTATATCCATAAAGACATGTCTAGGGAGACCCTTTGTTAAATATCACTATTGACCTCAATCAGAAAGATGTACTTTTTCACGGATAGAAAAAAAAAGCAGTATACTTAACGGAGGATTTCTCTCGGCATGTCTTTATGGATATGAAGCCTGAACATGCCTCTATTATTGGTAAAAAAATCAGCTCGTTTGCTCTAGCCGTAATGGAGATATTCAATTTTTATTTTGGCAAACTGATTTTTGGATCACCCTGTATATAGTCCAAAAATCACGATACCAAGTAAAAATTGAATATCTCCGCTACGGCTCGAGCAAACGAGCCGATTTTTTTACCAATAATAGAAGCATGTTCACATTTTAAATCCATGCGGACAAGATTAGAGAGAGCCGTTATAAAGTACCACTAATGACCTCAACAAAATAATTTTACTTTTTCGTAGATCGAATAGAAAACAATATACTTAACAAAGGATCTCTCTGGGCATGTCTTTATGAATATAAAGCTTGAACATGCCTTTATCATTGGTAAAAGAATGAGCTCGTTAGCTCGAGCCGTAGCGGAGATATTCAATTTTTTCGGCAAAATGACTTTTTTTTCTAACTGTGAATAAGTAAATTTTTCTTGTTGAGGTCAATAATGATACTTAACAAAGGGTCTCCCTAGACATGTCTTTATGGATATAAACTTGGTGCATGCCTTTATCACTGATAAAAAAATCAGCACGTTTGCTCGAGCCGTAATGGAGATATTCAATTTTCTTAAGTGAACATGACTTTTGGGACACCCGGAAGTTGAAAATTAGCGCAAAAAAACATTCACAAAAATTATTTCACAATTTTGCAACGCTAGATTTCTTTTCTCTGCATGCCATAACGGCAATGTTTCAATATCGAAAATTTCGATCTGGATTAAAATAGTGTTCTAATAAAATCTTTCGACATTTCTATTCATTTTCACGTTTTGAATTTGTTTTTGAAACACTTATTTTATTTATCGAATCGTGAGATTCACGCTGGGTTTTTTTCTCAAAGAATTTATGTGATCGGTGTTTGATTGAGTTTAAAAAGGAAAAAATAATTTCCGAGACAAATAGATAACAGTTGTATATACATCTCTAAACGAGTCAGATATTGAGATAAACTCACCAGAGTTCGTTGTTTACTTTTCGAAAGATGAATTTTTTGCAACCAGATATTTATAGGTAACACTTTTATGCAAGACTTATCATGCATATCTGTGGAAAATATATCCAGCTTTAGTTTTCGGAAACGGAATGTAAGATCATTTTGGATATTTTCGTTTGAAAGATCAAAATCTGAGCACAAATGAGACCAAACAAGTTTAAATTTGAGATATAATTTGTTAAGAACATTTCAAATGCGGAGTCTCGCTGAAAATATTTTTATAACTTGATTTTCTTTAAAATCTTTTTCGAACTCAAAAAAAAGCGAGAAAAAAATGTGCATGATTGAATGATTCATCGACCTGTATTCATATATACACTAATATGAATTCAAAGAAGATGATGAATAGCATGTCATGTATCGTCCAATCGCTGAGAGGACTAATCACATGAAAATTAGCATCGCATTCAAAATAATATAAAGGCAACAAAAAAAAGTTGTCAAAATTTTGTAATCTGAAAAGAGAATATCTTAACCGAATTTGTTTTCATTTTACGAAGCACGATAGATGTCACCTAAGTACTGCTAAGAATATCACTATCAACGAAATATTTCTGTGGAGGTAGTTCTCGAAACCAGTAATCAAGCTCTATTTTCAAGTTCGCTGAGGTATGTTCAGAAGTTCGAAAAAGTAAATTACCGAAATTTCCATAATTGGCAGAAACAAATAGGATTTCAGGGAAAGAAATTTCGAAAAGTTCGGAATTTTCGGAAGTAACACAAAGTTTGGAAAACATATGTCTGAAATTTCCGAAATTTCACTTTCGGAAATCTGAACACTGTTGAGTTCGCTTCAGAGTAATTATTATGAATTAGGCTTCTGGCGACTCTTCTTGAATATGTGTAGGACAATTTACTATTTTAAAAACAACATGTCTTTTTTTCAAATGACATTCTTGATCATCATTACTCATATTCAGTTCAAGACATAGTATACTCAACTATTAAAAACATTAGGCATGCACCAAATCCTAGTTTTAGGTGATAAAGATGATTCATTTACGATGTCAAGAACCGTCAGTTCCTGTCAAACCTTCGAGTGGATTCTACTCAACTTTTATCACTCTATCTGATGGCAGTGACAGATATGTCAAATCCAACTAGAAAATATACAGGATTTGATCAAAAAACGTGAATTTTCGGTCAAATCCTGTCAAACCCTGCATATCTTCTAGTTGGATTTGACATATCTGTCACTGTCATCAGATAGAGCGATAAAAGTTGAGTAGAATGCACCCGAAGATTTGACAAGAACTGACGGTTCTTGACATCGTAAATGAATCATCTTTATCAACTAAAATTAGGATTTGGTGCATGCCTAAAAAACATATGATTAGGCGAAAATGTTTTATGTTTTAACATATTTTTACATTTTTATTATTAATGAAGAGTAACAATGGGAAATCATAATGGCAAGAAACAGAATTGATCGTGTAACTATAGTCAACTGTTATTGATGTCAGGGGCAACATAGAGAAGAGAACTTATTATATATAATTGATATTGAATATTTTCATCGTTTGAATCAAATAAAAAAAACACTCGTCGTGAGAAATTGTCAATAAATAAATGTGTATACTCAAGGAAATAATTGATTGGAATATTGAAAATGATTTTATTTTTCAATTTTATTTCTAAATAGTTCATTAAGTTTAAAGTTCTCTTCTGATACAAATCTTAATTAATCATTTAAAGCACATTGTCATTAATTAAGACAATAACAACGAACTAATCTATATTGATGAAAGAGTTATTGAAAATATTTATATCTATACCATCTTCAATGAAGTGTATACAATGAAAAAAAAAGCAAGATTTGACTACTCTCAACTAACAGTCAAGTATAGTAGTTGACATTTAATTGACTTGTACTTGGGAGTAGTCAACTTTTCCCGTGTTCTTCCCCTTGCATATATAATTAGTTTGAAATTTCTATTGAGCAGTTTACTAAAACTATGTTTACGTTTTATCGATAAAATAAATAATATTTATTGAAGATCAAAAAGATCAATTTTAAAAGAATTTGACAATTTTTTAAAACTTGCTTTGAAATATCGTCGAAAAGTGAATAAATGAGGATAATCTGAAGAGAGTTAAATAAAATATATACAGTGGGCCCCAAAATTGTTCAACAAGATGTCATTTAGACTTTTTTTCGTAGCCTTAAGTGCTAGAAAGAATCCAAATAGTGATTTGAATAGAGAATATTGTTGCCAACAAGAATTCGAGGAAATGATAACCATCATGAATTTTCTCAAAGTAGGATTTCTGGAAAACCAAAACCCTACTTTTTCAACATCCAGAAGCCACAACAGAAAACTTGTTTTAACAATCTAGAATTATAGAGTAGCCAATTCTCTGCAAAATAAGACGTCTCCAAGCTTTCTACGACCTTCCATTCAAAAGTTATAAGCATCATAAAAATCGGAAAAAGGTGAAATTTATGGGAAAATCGACTAAAAAAATGCATTTTTTCGATTTTCGTGATGCTTATAACTTTTGGAGAGAAGGTCGTAGAAAGCTCGGAAACGTCTTATTCTGCAGAGAATTGGCTGCTCTATAATTCTAGACTGTTAAAACAAGTTTTCTGTTGTGACTTTCGGATGTTGAAAAATTAGGATTTAGATTTTTCAGAAACCCTACTATGGG